GGCCAGGTCCTGCTGGAGCAGGCGGCTAAGCGAAGATTTCTTGCCCCCCCACCCACTCCCCAAACCCTGAGAGCCTCTTCCTCCCAGCTCTGCATTGTCAACCTGCGGTGCTACCTGGACCGCTTAAGGTCCGGGTCTGCAGGTGAGGGGCTTGTGCTTTGCTCTGCGGGAGATCTCAAGCCCCCACCCTCAAGCCCCCCCAGTCGAGGACAGGAGCATTGCTGCGGATCTCTCCCCCCCACACACACACACATTGTCCATGTCAAGCACAATTGGTGGCAGGAGAGGGGTGTGTGTGTGAATTAGCCAGGGGGTCAGGTGAGGTGAGGTGGAGTGGGGGGTGTGGAAAGCAGAAAAACGAGCCACAATGGGCCCAAACGGTCCTTCCTGCAGTAAAAAGTCCTGTGTCAAAGCCAGGCCCCAGGGTGATTCAGGAGAGCCCCCTTGCCCGGGGGGGGGGGTTTGTTTTCCTTTGCCAAAGTGGTCCTGGCCTGCTTGCCCCCTCCCCCCCCTTTGGCTCCCCCTTCTTCAGGACTGACTTCCAAGATGGTCAGGGTCAGAGGTGTTTCACCTGCCCTCCCCCACCGTTCCTCTCCTTGCCACGGGCAGGGGGGCTCACGGGAACAGACCCAGGGTGGACAGAGCTGCCCCGTGGTTGTGTTCCTGCCATTCGGGCCACTGTGTGCTTTGGGAGACACGTTAGCATCCTTGGTGTGCAGAGCAGGCGTCGCTGTAAGACACAAACACTCCTCTTGCTGTACATTAAGATAACAGATAAATTTAGGATTCTGGGAGAGGCAAGAAGCCACTGCCCCCTTCTCATCCCCGTCTGTGGCAGGCGCCCTTGAATGCAGAGGGCAAGCGCGGGGCTCCAGAGGGATGGTTGCCCCAGCCAGCCGGGGTCAAAGGCTTCCATTGAAGAGGAGCAAAGTCCTGGGGGGCTGCTCGGCAGCTCTCGCCCGGAGGAAGCGTCTCCCCCTGTCCAGCCAACGTCTGCCTCCCTGGCCTGGGCACCTCTTGGCTCTGGAGCTCCCCTCCTCAGAACCGGCCTGCTTCCTCTTCTCGGCCTCTCCTTCCAAAGCCTTTGGCCATTCTTGCGGGCAGCTTCACTTTCGGGGCTGTCCTTCTGTGTCCGTGTCTGATCCACTCCTCAGCGGAGCATCTCTGAGACTCAGCGGAGGTTGTGCTCCTCAGCAGGTCACTCCCCTTTACCATCCAGATTATTCATGGTTGCTCTGTTTTAACCCCATTATTTTGGGGCTCACCCGTTCCTCTTCCTTCTTATATATTTGAAAACCGACACATCATAGGCTAGTTTCCTCTATAAGCCATTTGCTCAGGGCTAAAGCCCTGTGCGTGTCCTCCAGCATGTACTGGGTTGGTTTAGGTGCTGCTGTAGGAAAAGGGAAGGAAAGGTTCTCCGTAGCTCAGGGGTTGACGCCCTTGCTCTTCCACTTGAACTGAGCACAGAAGTCCCATGATGTCTTGGTTCAAAGCAGAATGATACAAAAGCATCCCTAAATGTGTCTGCATAGGTTTAACATAGAATCAAGAATCACACTAGCCTTTTGGGCTGCAGCAAGATGTTCTTGGCTGAGCGTTGGCTTGTCGGTTGCGGGTGCTGTAGAGATTTTCAAGTGTCGGCCTGTGCAAAGGCAGGCTTGCTTGCATACCTTGCTTGTTGTGAGTTTCCTTCGGAATCTGCAAACTCTGAGTAACAACCCTGAGGTTGGGCTTGTGGTCATTCCTCCCAGGATGAAAGGGAGGAGAATCTAGAGCGCTGCTGATTCCCTATGGACTCAGTCCGACTGCGGATTCACTCGCAGAGAAACCAGAGGTTGACATGAGTTCAGAAGTTGTTGTCGAGGGCAACTAATCCTGTAAACAGGGCCAGTGTTGACTTTGGTTTGATCTGTCCATTTAACAACATTTCCATTGCTGCTGTTGTAGAGAAATGGGCCGAATATTTGCAAGGCGGGTACATCAGCGAGGGTCGCCGGGGATTTGTGTGGTGCCAGTCTGGATCTCAAATCTGGTCTCCTCTCAAAGACCTCCCCTTTTCCTCTCCATCCTCACCCAAGAAAACCTAAACAAGAATGAGGCTCTGAGGTTCCCAGAAAAACACTTGGTGTCGCACATACCTGGAGTGCTCCGTACATCCTGCTGCCGAGACACACCGGGGCAGGAATGTTCTGCCTAAGGAAAACCGTAAAGCTTGAAATATCCTGTTTTCATTCCACACCGTGGCTGAGTGGGCCGTTTCCAGGCTGTGGATCATTCAAGCCCTGCTCAGAGGGAGCTTGTGCTCTGCCGGCGCCTCTCTCAGGCGTCTGTAGGACGGTGCCTGTTCAGACGAGGCCCCAGTGTGTGCCTTACATTTCCGTTCATTTTCCAAGAGGGGCCCCTCTGACATTAGAGCTCCCCCCACCCCAAAAGAACAGGACCCTGCCTCGTCCTCCCCAGCTTTCCCATTTGCTAAGCCTCGTACTTGCAGCCTGCTTCTCTGCTGTTTTCCTTACGATTATTTTAATGTATGGGGGGGGAGTTCATCTTAAAAGCATCTTACAGTGTTAGGAGATAACCAACCTTAAAGGCAAGAACAATAAAACAGTGCATCTCTAATGTAAAGCTATTAACGACAACCCACAAGGATGCTAATTGGCATAAGGCAGAGTTAAAAGCAAATAAAACCCAACCTGCCACCAGGCCCTCTAACCCTTGGGGGGAGGAAGGATGGAGAGGTCTGGAGGTCCTCTGGGCAGAGCACCACAGGAGATGAAAGTGGTTTGCCCCAAGAATGTGCGCGTGTGTGTGTGGGGGGGGAGTGGTGGAGACACCTGCCACAGGCCTCCTGGAGGAAACCACATCAACACAAATCCCAATCCCGCCCCCCTCCAGTAAACACCATAATGATTATCCAGAATTAATAAGGTGTGAATAGATTAACTAGCTGGAGGGCCTTCTTTACACATAAAACAAATTCCTAAATTGTATGAACTTGTTTCAAGGAGTTTCAAACCCCCACTCCTTTCTTTTGTAAAAAATAAAAAATTTAAATAACAAATCTCAGGTGGTGAAAATGATGCATGTCATAAGCCCCTGCCCTGACCTCCATTGAGCCAAATAGGCAGCTCTCCCCTCTCCCAAACTGGCTGCCCCGTCCGACCCCAGGAGGGCTCCTTGTAACCTCACAGAGGAGCCCAGGAAGAGGAAAGCAGAACTTCAGTGGTGGAGGATGATGCCATCCTGCACCCCAGCATCTTCTGTGCCTTGCCTGTCCCTGCAGGGTGCTTGCTGCAGTCTTGCTGCCTGTAAAGGTAGCATCCTCTCAGGGCAGCCTTTCAGGTGCGGGTTGCCCTTGTGGCACCCAGGTGGGTGGGTCAGGTCAGTCTATGGATGGCTCCTCCATCTGATGGATGCTGCCCTCCACCTAAAGGGTGTGATTACGCACGACGAGCGTGTTTAAGAAGCATCAGCCGGGGTGCTTAGCAAACCTTCTTCTAATGGCCATCAGAGTGTGAGAGAGAAAACTTGCACCGTTGGCTGTGACAGGCAGGGAGTGAAGCTCTCCGCAGCTTGCCCACTACAGTACGGGATGAGACGAGAGAACTCGAGGAGAGACTCAAGTGGCCCATTTTGACACAGCGGACTAGCCCTTGGCGTCTCTTTGCAGCCATCTCCCTCAGAGTTGCAAAGAGCTGCAGCTGCCTAGCCTTGTCAGTTTGCAAGCTGAGTGGAACATATTGCGGCAAAGACCGTCACATTGAATCCCTGTTCCTTCAGGTGCGTTTTTGTCAGAACATTTTATACAGGAAATGTGTGTGTTTGTGTGTGTCTTGGTCTTTTAAAAAGCCCTTTTGCAAGAGGGGAGCCTGTCATTCTGCCACACCTTCTCTTGGTTTTTCTCTAGATGGGCTTCATAGCCGGCCAGTGCCCTGCTTTGAATGAATCGTTTTCCCTGCACAATTCATCTCCGCTCCACTTTCTTCTCTGTCGTGATCTCCCTTCCTCTGACACTCCTCTCTGTTGTGGGCTCTTTTGTGCCGTCTGGGGTGGGGGCGGGGAGCAGGAAGAGCCGTTCCGGGAATGCTCGCTAGAGGGTGCAGGGGTTTTAGGCTACAGATACCCGGAGGAGCCAGGCAGAGATTTCTCCCCGGGAAAGGTTTTTAAAAGCCAGCAAGCCAGAGCATCAATGGGGAAGGGACTGGAATCGGGGAGGGGGAGAGGTGAAGGCCTGAGGCGCCTCCTCGTTCTGTTCTCCCTTCTATGCCATCTGAAGAGGGGGCAGGAGAGGCTTCGGGCCAGGCGGAAGGGGAGGTAGTGAGCTTCAGGGGGCGACTTCACAGGGCAGGTGAAGGGATGCTGCTTGACTTCTAGAGCAGCATCTTTCAGGACTCTGCTTCAGGCAGCCAGATGTTTTGAGACGGCAGAGGGGAAAAGTCCTGCAAGCCTGCTTCTCTGTAGAGGCTGCGGCCGCTGACCATCCTGCCAGAGGCCTGTCCGGTTGCTCACCAGGATGGCCTCTGTAACCACTTGTTACCCAAACAGGAACCGAGCAAGTGGCCTTGTTGGTGTGTATAGGTGTGTGTGTGTGTGTGTGTGTGAAGACTATGAAGGCCTATCCTCGGTGACTGTTGGGATGTGTGTATCACATCTTGAGGTGTAAGGCTGTAGTTTTAAGAGAAGAGGTGTCAGCACAGAAGCCCGCTTTGTCAGGCTCCCCCACCACTTTGCGACCTCCTTATCACCTTCATTCATGCCACGCAAGGGGCTCAGAGCAAAGGGAAAGGGCCCTCTTGTTTGTGCGTTGATGCACAATTCAGTTTACCCTGCATTCAGCAGGAGAAAAACCTGGCTGGCTCTCTTCCCCCCCATTCCCCCCCCCAGTGTTCTTGGCTCCTGAACAGGGAAGCAAAAGGGTTAACGGGACGTGCCGTGGGGGCTCAATCCAGGGAGCCGACTCAGCTCCTGAGATGTCCATGGACAGAGAGATGGCTTGTTGTGAGTCAGAGCCATTGAACCCCGGATAGATCAGCTTGGCTGGCTGCTTGACTCTCCCCGTTGTCCACTCGAACTCTGAGGGCTGGGCTAGCCTTTATATTTGGCTGGTTTTTCTCTGTGTCATGGGATGGCAAGGAATAACAACCACTGGGCAGCCCAAAAAGCCAGGAGGGCCGTCCTGGCAAGCCTCTGCACCCACACAGCCCAGTCCTTGCACCCCTGCCTCTGTCTGGTTTGTGTACCCACAAGGAGGTGTTGCGGGGAGGGGGGGGAATGCCATCCAGTGCCCCACTCCTGGGTGGGGTGTGTGAGGCGGGTCTTGGTCATGACACAGGCATGGTTGGTTCTCAGGCAAAGCCTGTTCTTTCTCTCTTCTCTCTTTTTCTTTTTAAATCTGGGCTTGTATTTGACCCGACTCCTGGATGCAAACAGGCTCCTTGCCTTGCCTTTTGCCTTGATCTCGCTGTGTGAGCAGAGAAGCTGGTTGACCATGTGTTGCAACAGGTCAGCTGGGCTGAGAAGCCACTGTTGGACAGTCAGGTCTTTCTCTCCTAGAGGCATCATATCTAGCGTGGAAATGGAACCCGAGTGTCTTAGCACTGTTGTATGACAGTCCTCCTCTCCTTTTTCCCCAGGTGTTCTCAAAAATATTTAGCCATGAAGCCCTGGAGAGCTACCTTCCAAAGATCCAGCTGGTGATCCAGGACACGCTGAGAGCTTGGAGCAGCAACCCGGAATCCATTAATGTCTATTATGAGGCCCAGAAGCTCACTTTCCGCATGGCCATCCGAGTCCTGCTGGGGTTCCGGATTCCAGATGAAGACCTTGGCCACCTCTTTGAGGTCTACCAACAGTTTGTGGAGAATGTATTCTCCTTGCCTGTGGACCTGCCTTTCAGTGGCTACCGGAAGGTGAGAGATGCCTCCTTCCTCTGTCAGGGTTAGTGGCCCAGACGTCTGGGGAAAGGCCGTGCATAATTCAGTGGCTGGAGACTTGTTTGGCATGTAGAAGAAGACCTCCACACGACCTCCCTGGCTCAGAGTCAAGGAGATGATGTGGTAGATTAGTGGCTCCCAGCATTGGGTCCTCAGATGTTCTTGGAATAAGACTCCCAGGAATCTTCACCACTTGCTGTGCTGGCCAGGATTCCTGGGAGTTGTAGTCCAAGAACACGTCTTAGGAAGCCCTGTGTTAGATGATGACTTTTCAGAGCTTTTGCTGGTTTGAGTAGGCAAGACTGGGCTGGACATTCTAGGATTCTGACATGGCTTGCTGTGCTGGCCAGGATGTTTAGTTGTTAAGTCATGTCCGACTCTTCGTGACCCCATGGACCAGAGCACGCCAGGCCCTCCTGACTTCCACTGCCTCCCGGAGTTGGGTCAAAGTCATGTTGGTCCCTTCGGTGACCCTCTCCAACCATCTCATCCTCCAATGTTCCCTTCTCCTCTTGCCTTCACACTTTCCCAACATCAGGGTCTTTTCCAGGGAGTCTTCTCTTCTCACGAGATGGCCAAAGTATTGGAGCCTCAGCTTCAGGATCTGTCCTTCCAGTGAGCACTCAGGGTTGATTTCCTTCAGAATGGATAGGTTTGTTCTCCTTGCAGTCCAGGGGACTCTCAAGAGCCTCCTCCAGCACCACAATTCAAAAGCATCAATTCTTTGGCGGTCAGCCTTCGTTATGGTCCAACTCTCACTTCCATACATCACTACTGGAAAAACCATAGCTTTGACTATGCGGACCTTTGTCGGCAAGGTGATGTCTCTGCATGCAAGTTTATGCATTCAGAGCCATTTGGAGCATATCTAAATTTAGCATATCTGTTGCTGATGATAGAACAACAGGACAAGAAGATCCATTAGTGAAAAAAAAAATCAGGTGGGGAATGCTGAGACCTGAATCTTTTTGCTGGATAGCTAATTCTGGGTTTTCACCCCCTTCTTAACTCCTCCCACTCCACATTTTTTCTTCTGCAGGGGATTCGTGCCCGAGAGGCATTGCAGAAAGGTTTAGAAAAAGCCATTCGGGAAAAGCTGCAAAATATGCAGGGCAAGGACTACTCCGATGCTTTGGACATCCTGATAGAAAGTGGGAAGGAGCACGGCAAGGAACTGACCATGCAAGAGCTGAAGGTACGGACACTTGGCCGGCTGGCTGGAAAGAGGCAGCCAACACCTGCTGCTCTGTCTGTTGCCACTAGGGGCACTAGATTAATGCTTGCATTCAAAGGAGAGGGAGCAACCCTTTGAGATGACTGAATTTTCATAGAATAAATTTTTATAATAAGTATTTTTAGAACAATGTCCCTGAAAGGGGTCCTCTACTTTATGGCAATGCAAGGAAGTGCTACCAGCTTAAGGATTCTGAGGGTTTATTTTATTTATGTCACCAGAAAAGTGGCTGATAGATAGATAGATAGATAGATAGATAGATAGATAGATAGATAGATAGATAGATAGATAGATAGATAGATAGACAGACAGATAGATAGATAGATGGATAGATAGATAGATAGATAGATAGATAGTCTTAAAAAGAACCCAAGGCAGGTGATGATGGGCTTTGTTGCCCCAGCAGAAAGGGATATCCTTAATCCTTGCCCCTGTTTTGTTGTTGAATCCCAATATAGAGCTTTGTGTTCAGGTAAAATATGGATAGGAATATTGAGAGAATTGTTAGAGGTTAGTTTAAAGTGTTGGTTCTAACCTATAAAGCCCTAGACAACTTGGGTCCAAGCTATCTAAAAGACCGCTTCTCCTCTCTAAGAGCCTGCCCACATTTTAGAAACATCAGGGGAGGCCTTTCTCTGGGTCCCGGCACCCGCCCAGGTGTGCTGGGTGTGAACATGGGAGGGGGCCTTCTCTGTGGCTGCTCCGTTAGACTCTGGAACTCCCTCCCACTGGAAGCCAGGTTGGCCCCCTCTTGGCTGTCCTTCCCCAAGCAAGCAAAGGCCTTTCTTTTCAGGCAGGCATGTCTTGAGTGACTGGCTGAATGAGTGTTGTTTTGTTGTTGTTGTTGCTGTTTTAATGAATGGATGTGCGTTATTGCTTTGAATGCGTTTTTGGTGTTGTTCACTGCTTTTTAATATGATATCTGTCTGATCCTTTTCAGTATTTGTATACCTACTATTTTTAGCTTTAATTGTTGTCTTTTAATGATGTGAGCTGCCTTGGATCCTTTTTAAAGGTAAAGGCAGGGTGATTTTTTTTAAAAAAAAACCCATGTAAGCTGCCTTGGATCCTTCTTAAAGGTAAAGGCAGGGTGATTTTTTTAAAAAAAAAAACCACACAAAATAAGTTAATCCACGTGATAGGGGGCCTGTTTTTGAGAAGGAGGAGAGGGTCCCCACGTGGTAGAGCTGCAGCCTTGGGGCAGAGCAAGATTGGGCACCCTAACCCTGTCCCATACCTGACGCTTGGCTCCGTTCGCCTCTCAGGATGGCACCCTGGAGTTGATCTTTGCTGCCTACGCCACCACCGCCAGCGCCAGCACCTCTCTCATCATGCAGCTCCTGAAGCATCCCGGCGTTCTGGAGAAGCTGCGGGAGGAGCTGAGGAGCAAAGGCATCCTCCACAATGGCTGCCTCTGTGAGGGGTCGCTTCAGCTCGACACCCTCAACGGTCTCCACTACTTGGACTGTGTCATCAAGGAGGTGCTGAGGCTCTTCACACCCATCTCCGGAGGGTACCGAACCGTCCTACAGACCTTCGAGCTGGACGTGAGTAGGGGTCCCGTCCCGTTTTTAAGAAAGCACTGGGGTTGTTTGTAAGCGTGTTAAATGCCAAGTCCTTTGTGTGGCCAATCTCACAGGGGAAGGGACCCTACTTTTGTCTGACCAAGCACTATGGTCCATTTTGGCCTAAGAGCCCCCCCCCAAGCTGAGACATACTCCTCGGAAGACCATCTCGGTTATGTCCCTTCAGGAATTGACCCTGAATTCTGAGGGTTTGCTGGCCCTTAACTGCTGAAGCCAGCGTCGAAATTGGGACGAGTGAAGGTTAGATCCCAATGTTTGAATGACACGGAAATTACTCAGTGGGAGCAGATGGAGGTTGCAACCAACAGGCCAAAATGTCACGACTTGGTTGTCCCGCCTTCGGCATCTTCCCAGCAGTCAAACCCTCCTTCGAATAGAAATGGTGCATGATGGAAGGCCTTGCAGCGCAGGGCTGTCTCTGCAGAGAGAGAGAGAGAGAGAGAGAGAGCCGACGGGTCCTTGAATTCTCCAGACACAGATCACACCTTCTCTCATCTGCTCATGAACGTCATGCTTGGAGGTGCTGTCGATGCCTCTCCAGCACTGGACATTTCTGTGGAAGAAACGGATTACTGGTGGTTAAGGGAGCAATGGCCCCACAGCTGACTTCCATGGTCTTTGCTCTGCTGCCAAGTCTCCGTCTGTTGCCCCCTTTCCTCCAGGCTGATGCGGGGCCCCTAACATGAGCCGAGCCCATGACTCAACGTAGCCCAGCCCAATCTGCTCCTCAGCTTTGTTAGAATGATGGGTTTGTGAGATGACATTTATTTATTTAAAATATTTTTATCCTGCCTTTCTCCTTAAAAAGAACCCAAGGCAGGGGATGATGGGTTTTGTCATCCCAGCAGAAAGGAATGTCCTTAATTTTCTTAATTGCCCAACAACAACAAAAAGGCTAGCAACCTTTTGAGGCAAGATTGATAAGTAAATCAGGGTTTAGTGTGCAGATGCCACGGCCCAGCTTCCTATCTCCTTGGCAATTGGATCATGGAATTAAACAGGCGGGCGGGCAGGCAAGGGGGGCAGCATGCAAGCAAAAAAGCCGAAACAGACCGGCTCCTGGCAGGTAGAACACACCTTCTCCTCGGTGTCTACTTTGCCCCTTCATGTCTCTCTTTTCTTCTCCCCAGGGCTTCCAAATCCCCAAGGGCTGGAGCGTCATGTACAGCATCCGGGATACTCACGACACAGCTCCCGTGTTCAAGGATGTGGATGTTTTCGACCCCGAGCGTTTCGGGCAGGACCGCACGGAAGACAAAGACGGCCGGTTCCATTACCTCCCTTTTGGCGGAGGGGTCCGGACTTGTCTGGGCAAACACCTCGCCAAGCTGTTCCTCAAGGCGCTGGCTATTGAGCTGGCCAGCATGAGCCGCTTTGAGCTGGCCACAAGGACTTTCCCTCGGATCACTCTGGTGCCCGTCGTCCACCCGGTCGACGGACTCAAGGTCAAGTTTTTTGGGCTCGACTCGAATCAGAATGAAATCTTGACAGAAACAGAAGCCATGTTGGGTGCCACCGTGTAAGCCGGGCCCTCGGTTTTCTGCCTCTTGGTTGGGGAGGCAGAGGGGCCTGGCATTTTGGCGCAGAAAGGAAACAGTCAAAACCCGTCCCTGGTGGAGAGGGGCCGCCTCGCCTGCCCATACCTTTCGTCAAAACCTTACATGATGAACATGCCGAAACCAGGGCGGTGGTTTTAGTGAGGGTGAAAAACCGATTGAGGAGATCCCCTGTTACGTTTTATTTTCCGGAACACAAACTGGAAGGGGGTTGGTTGTCTTGACTGTAAAAACGGTATATAAATGTTTATATTCTCTGAAGTGGAAATGTTTCTGCTACGAGCGGAGGTTGCCTACGGGTGGTGGGAAAAGACACACACACACACACCTACAGCTAGCTAGCCATTTGAGAGCCTCACAGCTCATGGCCCGAACGAGGGTCGGTGGGCCATTTTGAACTTTAAAGTAACAGTGTTAATTCAGCGACCTAGAACAGTGTTGGGCGAATGTCTTTGCTTGCTTCAAAGAAGAGGGCCAAGAAAATCCCTGAGTGGGGGGCCTGGGACAAATCCGGACTGGGTGGTGGTGATGGTGGTGGTGATGACTGGGCCCCCCCCTTTCTGTGTTTCCATATTGACAGCTTTACTGTCTTCTCTGGGTGTGTGAGGGACCTGGAAGACAGGCTCAAGCAAGGTTGACTTGCAAGGGACCTGCTCTGCTCTTGGTGTTCACATTTATGGGGTATTTATTGTGTCAATGTTCACCTCCCTGTGTGATGAAGTTGTCAGAAAAACGGCGAAGATGAGCATTTTTTTGGGTGGTGGTGGTAATGTCTGAAATCTTAAGCATGTCTGAATCCCTACTCTGCTAAGCTTTTGGGATCCCCTCGGAGTCTGACGTTCTTGTGGTTGATATTCATGTCTAACTCCTCTGAGGCTCATCGTCCCAAATGCCTCACTGTGGCCATTTTGTGGCTGCTTCCAAATAATCACTATACATATAGGACCAGGGAAATCTAATGTTGAGGAAACAGCCTGTGGACCCGAGGCTCTTGAGAGGAAGAATGCTTCAGGGCCAGTTGAGTAAGAGAGGCGCTTTGCGTGCCCACTATGAAGAGGCCTCAAGCAGTGGCCCCTTTTCCAAGCGTGCAACCCCTCCCTCTCTTTCCAGCACTGACTTATGGCCGAAGAGGGCAGACAGAGCCATGGGCCACTTTTGAGAAGCACCAACTGCAGCGATGTTGCCTTGGTTGAAAACCCGTTTAAGCTCCCTCCCGCCGTAGGGCCTTCATAAAACGCCTGCTCTCTCCAAAGGGCGCTGAGCTAGAACCCAGCCTGCTGTGGTTCTGGAATGAACCCACTGCGCATGAAGGAGAGCAGCACCGAGCGCCCGGTGGGGATGGCAGGATTCTCCCAGAACATCACCAGGCACCACACCGTCCCACAGCAGGAAGCACCCCTGCATTACTGAACCCTTTGCCACGGGTGGGATCCTGCACTTGCAACCCTCCCATTTCAGTGGGGTTGGTAGAAGGGATCTGGCTGGGATTCCGCCTCACAGTTTTTTGACTTCTGCCACAGACAACCCTTGAGTTGCCGTCTTATGCAAACCTAGCTGGAAGTGAAACAAAACAGGATTGCTTAATGATATTTGGACACCTTGATACCCAGGTAATTGTTTTGGAAATGTTGCCCCTTCCCCGATTTTCGCCATCACCAACAGGAGTTGAGAACCCATCAGATCCAATCATGAATTTCTCAACCAAGGAGAAACAGGGTAAATGGGCCCCAGGGCAGACAGTTCCAGCCATGCTTTTCCTACAAAGACAAATGACTTCATGTAGTCATCAGGGGTCATGGTGGGACGTGGTGGCGCTGGGGATTAAACCACAGAAGCCTCTGTGCTGCAGGGTCAGAAGACCAGCAGTCGTAAGATCGAATTCACGCGACGGAGTGAGCTCCTGTCGCTTGTCCCAGCTCCCGCCAACCTAGCAGTTTGAAAGCTTGTAAAAATGCAAGTAGATAAATAGGTACCACCTTGGTGGGAAGGTAACAGCGTTCCATGTCTAAGTCACACTGGCCATGTGAACATGGAAATGGTCTACGGACAAAACGCTGACTCTATGGCTTCGAAATGGAGATGAGCACCGCCCCCCAGAGTCGGACACGACTGGTCAAGGGGAACCTTTTTACCTTTGCCTAGTCATCAGGGGTCAACCTAGAGAACAGAAACGGTAGCTTCCAAAATTAGTTATCGTATGACAAAGCCAAATGACAAAACTTTGCCCTCAGAATTGTGCCATCTGTTGGATGGGCAACCCATATGGTGTGTGAGGGTCTGCGGGGAGGCGGCTGTCCCTTCATGGCAGGATTAAATAAGACATGGGAGGCAGAGGCAGGAAGCACCGGGGATGGGAGCCTGCCGAGGTGTTTGGTTGGAGTTGACCAGGAGCCAGAACCGAGCCAGAAGGAGTGGCCCTCTTTCCTGCAAAGGCATCAACAATAACCACAGCTCCCATTTTGCTTCACTGTAATGTGTTCTCGAAGGCTTTCATGGCCGGGATCCGATGGTGGTTGTAGGTTTTTGGCCGTGTTCTGGAGGGTTTTTCCCCCTAACGTTTCACCAGTCTCTGTGGCCATGGGCATCTTTAGAGGACAGGAGAACTCTGTCTGTGTTCTGGTGTAGTGTGTGGGATACTACACCCGAACACAGGCAGAGTTCTGACTCCTGTCCTCTGAAGGTGCTGGCCACAGTGACTGGCAAAACATTAGGAAGAAAAACCTCCAGATTTCTTCACTTTGTTTTAAGCAGAACTGGGAAAAGACATACCGTTCCTTAAGATCTCAGCTTTTAGACTGTCCTGTTCTGGAACTTGTATTCCCAAACAACTTTCCAGGCTCCCCTTTATGGCACCTGTTTCATCTCCTCTTTCCTCCCTCCGGCCCCTCTACTCCCTGCAACCATCTAGACTCCCACTGGGGACGGCTGGCCTGGAGAGTCCTCCTGGTGACCCCAGGTTGCTTCCTTCACCCATCAGACCCCCTCAGAGTGACCTCCATCCAACACACCCACACTCAGGCCCACGCTCCTTACCCTTGGGGCAGGAAATTAACCACTGCATGACAGCTGCCCTGTTATCAAGCATCATCCACCAAATCTAAAGCGGCCTGTGATCAAATTCTAAGGCTACAAGAAATTCTTTGGACTTAGGGATGTAAATATTCACCTCTTTTCTTCCAATAGGTGGAAGCTTTTCAAAAGCCTTTGGAGAGCTTTTGTATATTTCCCACATTTTGGCATTTTTTTGGTGAAAAATTTGCAGAGCGGCTTTTATAGAAAATGCATGCATAGCAGATTTTTGTGCAAAACCTCCTGTTTCTTTTTCCTTCCTAATACTGTGGCTGCTTAAAAAATGTACTCATCTTTTTTTTTTTACTTCCATGCAGGAGTGAAGAATGTGGCAGCAGGTCATCATTTATTTTTATTTTTTTTCAATGGTTTGTCTTTATGTGTTGAGACACCCCATTTGAATCAACGACAAGAAAATCCGTAAATATTTGTTATACCCCTGCTTCTTAAAAATCCGTGGTGGCAGTTGGTTTTATTTTTTAGATTAGTCTCTGGCATCACTTCTTGTCCTCATAGGTTCCCAAATCGACCCTTGATACGTCTTCAATAAATACCCCCACCCCCACCCTCTTGATGTTCGGGTGCTGAGTATTAGTTAAGCCATCTGTGGACTATTTAATCGATAGGACTCCTGCTGTTAGGGCATCCATGGAGCAGCTTACAGTCTGAGCCAGGTGTCCCAGGTTCTCTTGGCAGGAATGCTGGGGAAATGGGCGTACAGATCCGATGGTGCAGTGGAGCCCAGTGAGAAGGGTGGGCCAGGCGTGAAGGCAGGAGGAGGAGGAGAAGGAGGAGGGGGAGGACCACGGAGATTTTAAACAACAGGTTGCTTGCTCCGATGGGAAACCAAGGAAAGGTGCTTCGTTTAAAGTTTGGCCACTCTTAAAAAAATCAGGTCAGTGATGAGGAGAGGGAGAGATGCAAACTATTAAAAGACATACATCTACACAACGTTTTACACATCTCTCTGTATACATGTGTGTATTATATTTAGGCAAGGATAACTCCTGTTTGATTTTACCATTCCTAACTAATATAACTTGACTAAAATATATAAATATAAAAAAATATATATTAAAATGTTACTGCAGTGGGTTTGCAGGATAAAAGCACTTTCAAGCCTCAGAATATGTATTTGTCTTGTTTTTTTTCATTTCTTAGCACAGTTCCAATTTGCTATATTATTTTATACACAAAGGTGGGTTGTTGTTTTTTGTCTTGAGTTTATAAACTGTTATTATTATAATTATTATTATTATAAGTACTATTTTTGTTATAATTCCAAATAGATATTTAGTATAAAAAGTGATGCTGTTTTAAAATATTTGTTATTTAGTAAAATATGAAATCTTCTGCCCCGTCACCCTCCCCCCCAACTCCTTATTGTAAAGCTTGTCTGGAAAGTGGAGTGGGGGGGGCGGGGAAGGGAACAATGCATAGATTTTATCAGGCATGAGCAGTGTAGAGTGGGAAGTTACATTCGCAGGTGGACTGGCAGTGAGTGGCTATGGTGGGACTACCACGTGCTTGCACTCTGCCCTTTCATTTCCACAAAGCTTGCACATGAGAGCATCTCACTCGTGTGTGTGTGTGCGTGTGCGTGTGTGTGTGTGTTTTAATATTGCAACGCATATGCACCTGTTGGGTGGAGGTATATTTTGGTGCTGTATGTGAAGTTATGTGTTGTGTTTTGATGTGTATATAATATAGGGACCAGTCCACCAGGAAGCCGCCTCCTCTGGCCACATGTGCTCAGCCAGAGGGCTCCGGAGTCAAGGAGCGACGCTCCAGGATGGCTCCGGTCCTGTATCCATGAGGCTCACCTGTGACGGAGGAGACCTTGGTGGGTTGCATCTGTCATGTGTCGCGAAAAGATGAATGTGCCGTGTAGTTTGTGGTCTTATTAAAAAAAACCATCAATGTGGTTATTTTATAGACTTCCATAATAATAATAATAATAAAAAAGTTGAATCTCCAGAGTTTTCTGTTCGTCTTTGTGGAACAATACGAAACATTTGTTGCTCTGAAAAAAAAAATACTTCTAGAATGCTTTTCAGTTGCTTTTTCCAAAGTGGTTAATAGGTGTATTTTTTTTTAAAAAATTAACATTGGATAGTAAAACCCAATAAAATGCAACATCGACCAAGAAGAACCACAGCTAAAAATAGAATTAACAGGAGGAGGAGAACTTA